CCTTTCCATACAGTTTCATCCAGCAATAACATAGCTGTGCAACAGGCGTTAGATGGATGGCGTTCCCATGTAACATATGGCAGATTCTTTACGGCTATGCTGTGGTGTTTCATACCTTTGACTTAAGTTTCCAGCTAAAGGTAATTTTTTTTCACTACAGTCTCATTCAAGGTCCTGCCAAGGAGTGACCAGCTTCAGTGCAGCACTATGTCTCTCCAGGTATGATCCCTCTCTGTCCCATGACCAACTCTGAAGTAAGAACCCTAGAGAACCACCTCTTTATGCTTAAAGTGGTATTAAACCAAAACCAAAAATGTAAAATATTGCAGCTTATCAATCGTTAGATGTTATTTTTTTAGGCTTTTTTCCCTCTGTTTACCTGGTGATCTGGTCAGTAACACACCACCTTTGATCTGGCCAGTAACACACCACCTGCCTCCACTCTGGACGAAGGAGCACAGGGGACATCTTTGGACAGCAGCATTGTCAGTCTGAGGGGAGGGAAGAGTACTGTACTAGCAGATTTAAATACAGTAACAAATCAAAGCCAGACTCCAGCTCACACTGCAGTTACACAAGCAGTTACAGCAAACAGTTTTTATTTCTTCTGGAATAAAGGTTTTCCATGAATTAATAAACGCAGATCATTGTAAGAACCCCTGTCAGTAGTAAATGGTTTGTCTCTACACTCTTAAAGTGGTTGTAAACCTCAGACATGAAATATGAACAAAGTATATTCCTCTATAGAGTGTACTTGTCTCAATGAAGAGCACTACGTGTCATTTCGGTCTCCTGCTTCATTCCTCTGCTGTCAGCATGAATCACTTCTGGCAAGTTTTCCTGACACCAAGAGAAAAAAGGTGACAGGAGGGATCTCCAGCTGATTGACAGTCTCAGCTATTCTTGTGTTCTGTGTGTGCTGTGTGAAGGAGGGGTATGTCCTTTCCCTCCAATCAGCTCTCAGAGCTCTCCTCACTGAGCTCTGCAGAATGCAACTTCAACTCTCCATCCCCTTTTTTCTGAAATCTCAGACAAAGTCTATGAATTCTCCATTTTGAATGGCTGTAGAGGAGAGATGATAAGCAAGTACAACTTATGTAAGATGATTTGTTTAATCTCTGTGTATTATCTGAGACCATTTTCTTCACTGGGTATATGTGTGTTTACAATAACGTTAACAGATACATTTACAGCAGAGCTTGTTCTTATGAAAACCAACAGACTTAGACCCCTTTCACACAGAGTGTACAATCAGGTCTTGCCAACCAGTTTTTCAGGCAGACCTGATCGGACAGTCAATTTTCCCCTATGGACAGACAGGTGTAAATGGACTTGTGTCCGTTTACACCTGCCTGCCTCTGGTCCAAAAATAAAAAAAGAGGAAGAGGATCTGCCCACCTCTGTCTAGGTGGATCGTATCAGAGGACAGTTGGGTGTAAATGGACAGCAAAGCCCATTTACTCCTGGTTCTGTCAGTGTCCGCTCTGCATAAACTGATTGGACACAAACCTGTCATCCACCCACTCTGCTCCATTCAGCAGGGAATCAGCTGACAGATCCCCTGCTAAACTCAACTGGAGTTGACCCCAAGTGAAAGGGGCCTTACTGGCCAGATCACCAAGTAAAAAAAAAAAGCCTAAAAAAAAAGAAAATGAATGCAACCATCACATCTAGGAATTGGTAAGCTGCAACATAATAAATGTTTGCTTTTGGGTTTAATACTATAACTGCTTCCGACCCGCCTTTTAAGGAAATGATGGATGGGCGGGAGCTCTCTTGTTCTGGGAGGACATCATATGACGTCCTCCCACTCTAGCTGCACATGCATGCCCCCAGGGGTTTGAGGAGCGGCGATCGGTGGTGCACTGTGTCCCTAGGACACAATCCAATCACAGTTGATCACATGTAAACAGGAAATGCCGGTTATTGACAGTCCTCACGCTGACAGTGCGTAAGGAGAGGAGAACTGGTAAGCGGCATTCCTCAGAGAGGACATCTACACTGATAGTCAGGGCACTGATCAGTGCTGCCTTTAAGTGCTCATCATTGCTGATCAGGGCACATCAATGCCACATATCAGTGCCCATCAATGCCACATATCAGAGCCCATCAGAGCTGCCTCTCAGTGCCCATTAGTGATGCCTGTCAATGCCCATTAGTGCTGCCTATCAGTGCCTCCTCATCAGTGCAGTCTATCAGTAACCATCAGTGCCACGTTTCAGTGCCAATCAATACCACTTATCAGTGCCCATCACTGCTACCTATCAGTGGCAGTCAGTGCTGCCTATCAGTGCCACATAACAGTGCTGCCTTTCAATGCCCATCAGTGATGCCTGTCAATGCCCATCAGTGCTGCCTATAAATGCCTCCTCATCAGTGCAGTCTATCAGTACCCATCAGTGCCGCCTAACAGTGCCAGTCAGTGCCACCTGCCAGCACCACCTGTCAGTGCCAGTCAGTGCCACATATCCGTGCCCATTAGTGCTGCCTTTCAGTGCCCATCAGTGATGCCTGTCAATGCCGCCTATCAGTGCCTCCTCATTAGTGCAGTCTATCAGTACCAGTCAGTGCCACCTATCAGCGCCCATTAGTTCTGCCTATCAGTGCCCATCAATGATGCCTGTCAGTGCACATCAGAGCCATCTATTAGTGCTGCCTATCAGTGCTGCCTCATCAGCACACATCAGTGAAGGAGAAAAAATATTTACAAAATTTTTTAACAAAGACTTAAGAAAAACTTTTTTTTTCAAAATTTTGTTTGTTTAGCAAAAATAAAAAAAAGTGTTAATGAAATACCACCAGAAAAAAAAAAGCTCTGTCTCAAAAAAAGTATAAAAATTTGGTTTGGGTACAGTGATGCATGACCGCGCAATTGTCATTCAAAGTGCAACAGCGCTGAAAATTGGCCTGGGCAGGACGGGAGGTGAAAGTGCCCAGTAGGTAGGTGGTTAAAAACCCCAGCTACAGGAACCCCAACAAGCCAAACAGCAGACACACCATGGCAAGTTAACCCCAACAACAGGGCAGAAACTAGGGAGGCATCTACCCCATGTGCCAAATTGAGGGGGGCGCCGCTGCTGACAGGAGTTGCAACTGCCATGTCAGAACTCCTGTGGCAAACAGCGGCAGTAAACAAAGACTTCCACCATTGGCCTCCTCTGCTGGGCTCTGCATTAGATTCATCATCAGTCAGAACCTTCCAGAGAATTGAGTAGAGGAAGTCTTTGTTTTCTGTCGGCTTTGTTGACAAGCAGCAGTAGTGATAATATGATCTATCACTTTGCTGGCACCCCCTGCATCCGTCCACACCAGCCTGTCACTGACACTGTCTGGAGAAAGATCAACGGGCAAGAACAGTGATAGGGATGATGCTTCTACAGGATTCCACATGGATCAAGCAGCCAGGTACTGAGCACCAATGTTCACTTCCCCCACTGACTGTGTCCCCAATCTGCCCCCACCAAGCAACAGCACCCCCCATCTATCCCCAATAAGCACCAGGATCCCCCTCTCACCCAACTGAGCACCAGTACTCCCTTCTATCCCCCCACTAAGCACAAGTACATCATCACCTACTGAGCACCAGTGCACCCTTTTTCCACCACTGAGCATCATTGCTCCCTTGTCTCCCCACTGAGCACCAGCACCCCCTTGTCTCCCCACTGAGCACCAGTACATCATCTTCTCCTACTGAGCACCAGTGCACCCTGTATTCCCCCACTGAGCACCAGTGCCCCCATCTCCTCCCACTGAGCACCAGCACCCCCTTGTCTCCCCACTGAGCACAGCACATCATCTTTTCCTACTGAGCACCAGTGCACCCTGTATTCCCCCACTGAGCATCAGCGCCCCCTTGTCTCCCACTGAGCACCAGTGCCCCCATCTCCTCCCACTGAGCACCAGTATTCCCTTGTCTCCCAACTGAGTACCAGTACATCTATTGCCCCCCCACTGAGCACCAGTACTTTTTCTGTCCCCCCACTGAGCACCAGTACTCTTTATGTCCCCCCACTGAGCACCAGTATACCCATTGCCCCCCCACTGAGCACCAGTACCCCTCTCTCTCCCCACCGAGCACCAGTGCCCCCCTATCCCCCCACTGAGCACCCCTGCCACCCTATATACTGATCACTCACTGTGTGCATTCACAACTGAAGCATTGTAAATTGTTTGCTATGCTTCAGTTTATGAATGAAGAGGAAGCCACTCAACACAGAACACTTCTCATTCATTTACTGTCCAGTGCAGCTGAGGCTGCAGAGAAAGGCATCTGTTCTCTGTCCCATAAGTGAGACACCAGTCTGTCTAGAGCCTTGATATTTCACCAAAGCCCCCAAACAGGGCTCCTAAAAATTGTAAATAATAATAATAATAATAATGAAAAACTACTGACACCGTTCACTGCCCTACTCAGCCCGTCCTCTTGGAGGGGGGCGCTAAGTCTTTGCCCCCGGTGAATGTCTAGTTTCACCACTCTCCAACAACATATTACACATGCAGAGCACCAGCAATGGATCAGCACCCGCCTATACACACAGCTGATTTCTGCTGACCACTAATACCATCCTGAGCTTGGCCTCCTACCCTGGAGGACCTGTGGGGTCAGCCGCCCTCCTGGTAGTCCTGAGGCCACCTTCTTCCCAATGTCCTGCATTGTGAGCCCAGCAACAAGTCGTACGATTTGTAGTGACTGTAGTGAGCGTTTACTTCACACCCCATGGAGCCTCTCTCACATAATAGTGGGTGGCGGTGTAGCGGTAAAATGAGTATCACCGACACTGCCAGGCTCAGAATGCAGGGTTAGCATGCACAGGTCACAGGAGAACATGAATGACGTCAGCAGACGGGAGAAAATCCAGCGATCTAACTAGTTTCCGGTCAGGGTGACCTACGTAGTAGTAAATCGGGAGATTTCGTTTCCATGGTTACCGTTCATTCAACAGCCGCGCAGGAACTTCCTCTGGTCGCCATGGTGATAGTGGACGCTTCCAGGACCGCTCATGGCTTTCTTCGGGCTGACTAATCTCGGGTATCAGGCTCCTCTGCAGGCCGCTCGAATTCAGGAGGAGTCGGGTGAGAATGTGGGTAGGTGGGGCACACACCCCAGAGCCTGCTTATCACGGCTATAGATCGTTCATGGAGACACCCAGGTCACTCCTCACCAGGGGAGGACTGACCATTCGGGCACTGCCCGAGGGCCCGGGGTCAGTAGGGGGCCCCATGAGATACCCCTGGTACCTTTCATTGTTTTTTTCATAGGCTTTTTTGGGTGTGGATGAGGACACAGGGGCCCCATGATCCCCTATTGCCCAGGGGCCCCATGAGTTGTCAGTCCGCCCCTGCTCCTCACTAGAAGAGGGCTGGCTCTGCCATTGTATGAGCCCAGGCCAGGACACAGCATCTCACTTCTAGGCCATGTTCTTGGTCAGATCCCCTGTGTTGTGCATGGATACGCGTTTTGCACATTAACCACTTGCCCTCCAGAGGATTTACCCCCCTTCTTGACCCGGCCATTTTTTGCGATACGGCAATGCGTTACTTTAACTGACAATTGCGCGGTCATGCAACGCTGCACCCAAATGAAATTCATGTGCTTTTTTTTCCCACAAATGGAGCTTTCTTTTGGTGGTATTTGATCGCTATAAACAAAAAAAGACAGACAATTTTGAAACAAACAATATTTTTAAACATTTTGCTGTAAAACATTTCCAATATAAAAGTTTTAAAAATCTAATTTCATCATAAATTTAGGCCAAAATGCATTCTGCTGCATGTCTTTAGTAAAAAAAAAATCCCAATACGTGTAAATGAATTGGTTATAGCGTTTACAAATGGCGGTATATATACTGGCATTTGTTTATTTATATTTATACTAGTAATGGCCGTGATCAGCGACTTAGCGGGACTGTGGGACTGCAGCGGGCATTCTGACACTGGGGGGAGGACTGGCTGTCACTGACATCCCAATGACACTAATACAGTGATCAGTGCTAATAAAAAGCACTGACACTGTACTAATGACACTGGGCAGGAAGGGGTTAACATCTGGGGCAATCAAAGGGTTAACTATGTGCTGTGTGTGTTTCACTGTGTGCTGTGCTTTACTAGGGAGGCATGCTGTTTTGTATTTCTCTGCTTTGCAGAGCAACACAAAGCAGCATGCTACAGCGGATAGGGGAGAGATCTGTATTGTTTGCGTACAGACCTCTCCCCCGGCAGTGATAGTCGGCGATCGCCAGGTGTCGGCGGGGAATCTCCAGCCGCAACCCGCTGATCAACAGCTGTAGCCATGCGCGCCCCGTACCTGGAAATACAAAATAATACACAAATATATATGGTTTTGCACATCCCTGCCAACCTGTAACAGTAGTTCTACTATAGAGCTGTCAGGATGCGGTTAACGTGTTGGGTTTACACCAAAAATCATGCATGTACTGTAGACAGAGCATCATGGGACCGCTGTGCGTTGCAGTTTGCTGCATATTATTTGTAAGGTGTGTTGGGATGCGAATAAAACACTACAGTGCATCAAACCACATAACATTTTCGCACATGGTGGTAATGTGCATGTTAATACATGCGTTACCCCAGTGCTACAGTGTGAGCTGAGCCTTGGCTCCCATTGACAACACAAGCACATCGTACAACAGTGCTCTGCACAAAGCAATGACAATCTAAAGTCCGTTGAATCCAAGATCACACCAACGCACAGGGCGGTAATGGAACATGCTGCATTTAGGACCCAGTCACACTTATGTGACGCAGGAACATGTGCGATACAGTGCATGAAAACATGCAAGTGTGCTGCAGTGCCATTCATTCTTAGGCACTCCAAACACACCAGCCAACATGTATGTTCTAATACATCAGAACACATGGTAACTTAGTGACATGCGTTGTAGTGTGATGCGATTTAAAAAAAAAAAAAACTGCCTGACATTCTATTGTGTGATTGTCGCATGTAGGGCAGCCCATCAAAATGAATCAGCTGCCCTAAATGCACTACACCTAAACAATACATGAAATGTCATATGTTCTGGCAAGTATGGTGTGTTTGCCATTCAATCCTATTGCCAACTTCCCCCCCGAATGCACCAGCCAATGCATGTGCGCTAAATCACACCAGAACACATGGTAACTTATTGCTGTGTGTTGTAGTGTGCTGCGCTTTAAAAAGAGATACTCACACTTCTTTTGTGCAATTGTCACACGCAGGGCATCACAAGGAAATAATTGGGCTGCCCGAAATGCACAAAAATGCACTTTCACATCGGCATAGGTGTGAAAAGAGCCGTAAACACAACACAAAGTTCTACAATGCTGCAGTATGTGTTAATGATATACAAATTTTAGCCTGTTGAAAAAAACAATGCACGTCAACCAAAGTGCATTTAGGCTGAATTCATACGTATGTATGATCAACATGTATAAATACATCAGTGGTTCATATAGTGAACTCGGTGTAGAGCTATTCACCCTGAGGTCATCACAGAGGACAAGGGGGCACTCTTTATGTATGGAGAAAAAGAAATGTAATCTCCAAACACGGAAAGGTTTCTTCACAGTAAGAGCTGTGAAAATGTGGAACAAACTCCCTCAAGAGTTGGTTCTGGCCAGCTCAGTAAATTGCTTTAAAAAAGGCCTGGATTATTTCTTAGATACACAGAATATAACTGGATACTAACATTTATAGGTAAAGTTGATCCAGGGAATATCCAATTGCCTCTCGGGGGATCAGGAAGGAATTTTTTCCCACCAGGAGCAAATTGGATCATGCTTTGCTGTTTTTTTTTGCCTTCCTCTGGATCAACTGTGGGTATAGGATTATAACTTTTTTTTTTTAATGGTTGAACTGGATGGACATTTGTCTTTTTTTTTCCAGCCATTTTGTATTTGAATGTCAAAAATGTGTGTATTGCATTTTGTATTGAATGTCACATAATGCACAACACGTTTCATGTTACGTTGATGGACACCTTGGTGCATGTATTAATGTATGTAATTCAATGCAATTCCATGGATTTTGATGAGAAACGCATCAAGCAAAAAAGCAAAGGTATGTGCAAAAGAAATGTGCTAAAATGTGTGTAGTCCCTACAGTTGGATTCACACATTGAATGATGTTGTGGTGTGTTAGCGCATGCGCATTGTTTTGAATGTTCATGTGCCTTGCGTAAAGACAACCCATTTTTGTGAATGAGCTGCCTAACACACCAACACACTAAATTTTAAGAAATTGGTAATGCATTATTATGCATTGCGTTGAGGTGCGTTGGAAAGCATGTGCGTTTGTGTGCCATCAAGAATGAATAGCAGTGAAAAATGTGTAGTTGTGCGTTGCAGCAGCGCAACAGTTTGAAACCAGGCTTAATCTGTTTTTTTTTTTCTAGCATGCATATTGCTTTACTGTATATTTTTTGTGAATTTGTTGCAAAATTTCATATATGGAGATCCTCCTCATAATAACGCCACTGATTTGTAGTTAGCAGCAGCGTTGTCAGGCTGCTGTGCGTACTACTTCAGTTGGCAACTGGACTGCCTGTAGGGTCTGTACACGCCTCGTGGACATGCTTCTTGGATACGCCTCCTGCACATGCCTCCTGCACATGCCTCCTGCAGACCTGATAGGCAGCTCAATGACCAACTGAGAAAGCAAACACACAGCAGGCAGACAAAGATGTTGCTAACTGCAAGTGGCTTAGTGTTTCAGCCTGCAACAGAATGTCATATTACTGGCAGGATCTCCAGGTAATGAGCATTTCAACAGATTCGGAAACCTGTATATAGTGACTCATCATGCCAAACATAGCGAAATATAGATCTTGGGCCATCTCTTTGCTTGGCAATTCTTCATGTTTGGAGGTCAGGCCCATCGAGTCAGGTTTATTCTTCAGTATATACATAATTATGAATTGTAATTTATAACTCCACCAGTGTGGAGTTAAAGTGTTACTAAACCCACAACAGTAAAATCAGTCTGTGTATGCAGTAAAGCATGCTTGTTATTCTCACTGTGGAACCTAAGGGGTTAATCCTCTTCATTGTGCAAAAAAGCTGTTTGATCCTGTCTTCTCTGGTCCTTCCCTTCTTTTACTGTCCCCAATCCATCTGCTGATAGTACAGAGCTCTAGGAGTCACTCTGCACATGCTCAGTTTGGTGTGCATTGCTAGGGGTTTTTTTTTTGCTTTGGGAGGGTGCATGTGATCAGCACAGCGCCAATCAGCACTGTCCAGACAAAGGGTTAGGGGTTATTCAGCCTCATAGAACAGTCAGAGCAGAATGAAAACTCATCCTACAAGCTTTAACTAGTGCTCAGCTGGACACTGAAAGAAGTCACACGACTGCTCTAACTGCTGATAAGAAAAGGTATTTAGCAGTTTATATTTACTAAAATAATTGCATTTCCATGTAGTATGTGCTGTTGAAGACCAGATATAGTGAATGCAGGGTCCTGGGTTTAGTAACATTTTAATGAACAATGACTGTCTGTCTCAGTAGCTGAATATGAGATTCCTTATAGTGTTACTAAACCCACAACAGTAAAATCAGTCTGTATATACAGTAAAGCAGGCTTGTTATACTCACTGTGGAACCTAAGGGTTAATTTTTTCTTGGGAAAGTGAGAGGTTTCAGCCACACATTTTTAATGTCCCGCAAACACAAGTGTAAATAAGAACTAACAGGAAGCATTTCATTGAATGTGTGTAAATCTGACAAGCTGAGTGTCAGGTGCAAATGATCAATAGTTGTGCAGCCTCCACACCTACCATGTGCCCTGTTATGCTTCCCAGGCTTAGCACTCCTATCAGCAGATCTGGGACCTGCATGGTGGGTGCCACTGATAGAAGGGAGAGAGATCAGCGACACCTGTTCATTGATCTCCCCTTCCTGTAAATGACCTGGAAGCAACGTGTAAAATGTCCTGGTGTCACTGTCCCAAGACAGGATTGGATGATGTTAGCTGGAGACAAAGACGTCTCCTGAAAACTTCAGCCAATCCATGCAGAAGATGTATCCAGTGAGCAATATGCCATGCAAGCCGTGCTGCGTGGCACATCACTTTCTGCCAGCTCCTCGGTCAGTCTCCACGTAGAGCTAACGTTGACAAGGATTAGTTTTTTTTTTTTTTGGGGGGGGGGGGGGATTGGTGAAAGCAGCTGGTCTTGCCTAGGGTGCAAAATAATCTAGCACCAATAATCTGGCTGGCGGGATGGGGGGAGCATCCTAAATGTAGGTATGAGCCCCTAGTAGTACACATTGAGACATATGTACTGTGGTAGTGAGCACTGCAGCAACACCGCACTTTGAGCAATGTGTTCTATAAAGTCCAAATAGCAGCTGCATTATTCACAATACTCAACCTTTTAAACAATGGTTGCTCAAAGTGAATGCCACAAATATTGGCATCCAGAATCAGATTTGAAGATGAGTCCCTAGCACTCCAAATGAGTGTGTTTCGTGTTTTTTTTTTTTTGTCAAATCATCGTCACATTAGGCGTAGCGGATGCTTACTATGTTGCCTTGAAAAAGGGACCATGCAAGGTCCCAAAGCATTGGTTTCGTATGCTTTTATGTAATGCCATCTTCACAATAAACATGTGAAATGCATTCATTTGGGGTGCTGGTGACTTTGCATCTTCATATGTGGTGTCATTTATTTGGAGAGGTACCCCAATGCACAAATACAGACAAGTACTGAGAGATACCATGTCTCATATTTTTTCCTTTAACCACTTTCCTTCCACCCTATAGCAGAAGTACTGCTACAGAGCGGCAGGGCTGTGCAAAATCACACACACACACATATATATATATACAGTCATGGCCGAAATTGTTGGCACCCTTGATATTTCTCCAGGAAATCATGTATTTCTCACGAAACGTATTGCATTAACACATGTTTTGCTATACACATGTTTATTCCCTTTGTGTGTATTGGGACAAAACAAAAAAAGGGAGGAAAGAAAGCAAATTCGACATAATGTCACACAAACCTCCAAAAATGGGCTGGACAAAAGTATTGGCACCCTTTCACAACTGCGGATAAATAAGAATGTTACAAGCATGTGATGCTCCTGTAAACTCACCTGGGGCAAGTAACAGGTGTGGGCAATATAGAAATCACACCTGAAAGCAGATAAAAAGGAGAGACGTTCACTTAACCTTTGCATTGTGTGTCTGTCTGTGCCACACTAAGCATGGACAACAGAAAGAGGAGACGAGATAACTGTCTGAGGACCTGAGAACCAAAATTGTGGCAAAATATCAACAATCTCAAGGTTACAAGTCCATCTCCAGAGAACTAGATTTGCCTTTGTCCACAGTGCGCAACATTATCAAGAAGTTTGCAACATTTTGCTAAATTTATGCAACCCATGGCACTGTCTAATCTCCCTGGTCGTGGACGGATGAGGAAAATTGATGAAAGATTGCAACGCAGAATAGTCCGGATGGTGGATAAGCAGCCCCAAACATGTTCCAAAGACATTCAAGCTGTCCTGCAGGCTCAGGGAGCATCAGTGTCAGCGCGAACTATCCGTCGACATTTAAATGAAATGAAACGCTATGGCAGGAGACCCAGGAGGACCCCACTGCTGACACAGAGACATAAAAAAGCAAGACTACAGTTTGCCAAAAATGTACTTGAGTAAGCCAAAAGCCTTCTGGGAAAACGTCTTGTGGACAGATGAGACCAAGATAGAGCTTTTCGGTTAAAGCACATCATTCTACTGTTTACCGAAAACGGAATGAGGCCTACAAAGAACAAAACACAGTACCTACGGTAAAATATGGTGGAGGTTCAATGATGTTTTTGGGGTTGTTTTGCTGCCTGGGGCACTGGGTGCCTTGACTGTGTGCAAGGCATCATGAAATCTGAGGATTACCAAAGGATTTTGGGTCGCACTGTAGGGCCCAGTGTCAGAAAGCTGGGTTTGCGTCCAAGATCCTGGGTCTTCCAGCAGGACAATGACCCCAAACATACGTCAAAAAAAGCACTCAGAAATGGATGGCAAAGAAGCGCTGGAGAGTTCTGAAGTGGCCAGCAATGAGCCCAGATCTAAATCCCATTGAAACACCTGTGGAGAGATCTTAAAATTGCTGTTGGGAAAAGGTGTCCTTCCAATAAGAGAGACCTGGAGCTGTTTGCAAAGGAAGAGTGGTCCAAATTCCGGGTGAGAGGTGTCAGAAGCTTATTGATGGTTATAGGAAGCGACTGATTTCAGTTATGTTTTCCAAAGGGTGTGCAACCAAATATTAAGTTAAGGGTTGCCAATACTTTTGTCCAGCCCATTTTTGGGGTTTTGTGTGACATTATGTCATATTTGCTTTTCTGCCTCTGTTTTTTTTTTTGTTCCAATACATACAAAGGGAAATAAACATGTGTATAGCAAAACATGTGTTAATGCAATACCTTTTTTGTGTGAAAATACTTGATTTTCAGAAAAAATATCAAGGGTGCCAACAATTTCGGCCATGACTGTATATATATATATATATATATATATATATAAAAGTGTTTGTGATTTGGATTCCCCAGGTAGGAGACGCACGCGTGTCGCCCTACCCGCGCCGCTGTTGGCAGCTAGGGATGCCTTGGTCCCAACCGGGTCTCTGTCTTGTCAGCATGGACATGTTGCTTTGTATGTCTCTGCACAGCAGAGAAATACAAAACAGCATGTCTCCCTAAACACAGCACACAGTTAACCCTTTGATCGTCCCAGATGTTAACCCCTTCCTGCCCAGTGTCAGTAGTACAGTGTCAGTGCTTTTTATTAGCACTGATCACTGTATTAGTGTCATTGGGATGTCAGTGACAGTTCCCCCCCAGTGTCAGAATGCCTGCCGCAGTCCCGCTAGAAGTCACTGAATACCATTACTAGTATAAAAAAAAAAATCCAGCATATATACCACCATTTGTGGACGCTATAACTTTCACGTAAACCAATTAATTTACAAGTATTGCGATTTTTTTAGTAAAGACATGTAGCAGAATACATTTTGGCCTAAATTTATGAACAAATGTAATTCTTAAAATTGTTTTATTGGATGTTTTATAGCAAAAAGTCAAAAATATTGTTTTTTAAAAAACAAATGTTGGCTTTTTTGTTTAACGCAAAAAATAAAAAACGCAGAGGTGATCAATTACCACCAAAAGAAAGCTCTATTTATGGGGGAAAATTACATAAATTTCATTTATGTGCAGCGCTGCATGACTGCTCAATTGTCAGTTAAAATAACACAGCGCCGTATTGAAAAAAATGGCCTGGTCAGAAAGGGGGGGGGGGTAACTCCTCTGGAGGGCTTCTTACTTGGATATTTTATCCTGCAATGACACATAATGCATGGGTCCAACTTTTTCTGTTTTCTTTTTAGGAACAAGTGGAAAGACTACAACAAAATTTTCTGCCCTTGCTCCTCAGTGTTCGTATGTCAGTTATGGGAAATATCAGGAGATGGTTAGACGTCACCAAGACCTGAGGAGTAAGTATGTTTACAATGTTATAAAGAACAACAAACGGCAGATTTTTTTACAATTATGAGTTTATTAGACCGACGATGTGGACTGGGAACAATGGCAGCATGCTTCAGATGGTCATAGGGGTTTCTAAGCTGTGATACCTATTGGCACATTGAGTGTGGTGTGTTGGTACTGGTTGTGGTTTGTTAGTACCTAGGCTGGACACCAATCTACCATAAATAAAGTGTTAGGAGAGGCTAGAAACTGCTATGTGAATGCTTTTGACAGATTACATCCCACAGGTAAAATTTGATTTTGCCCATAGTTCTTCAGATTACAAAGTGCCTTATGAAATAATTATGTTTATTATTTTTTTAGTGAGTTGATTTTCCCTTAAAGTGTTACTGATCCCACAACAGTAAAATCAGTCTGTATATGCAGTAAAACATGCTTTTTAAACTCGCTGAGCAACCAAAGAGGTTAATCTTCCACCTTGTGTAAAAAGGCTGTTTGATCCTGTCTTCCCTGACCCTCCCCTTCTTCTACTGTCCCTAATCCATCTGTTGATAGTACAGAGCCCTAGAAGGTACTCTGCACATGCTCAGCTTGGTGTGTATTGCTGGAGAGTTTTTCTTTTTTCTTTGAGAGGGTGCATGTGATCAGCACATGACCAATCAGCACTGTCCAGACAGAGAGTCAGCGGTTATGCATCCTCGTAGGACAGTCAGGGGAAAATGAAAACTCCTACTACAAGCTTTAACCAGTGCTCAGCCGGACATTGATAGACATCACAAGACTGCTATATACTGCTGATAAGTAAATAATTGCATTTCCATATTGTATGTAGTATAGGAGACCGAATATAGTGAATGCAGGGTTCTGAGTTTAGTAACACTTTAAGATTCTAAATATCTCAGGGCAGTGATCGTCTGATACTTGTAAATGCAGTAATTTCTTTTTTTAACATAAATGGCCAAAATTTGATACCTTCAAAGTCACTGACCCAAAAAGGTGTATAAACTGACTTTCCTTTCAGTTTCTGAAAATATTGAAGCCGGTTGGTCAGCAAAACAGCCAGCTAAATAGCAATTTCAGATGTCAGCACTGGAAGCTGATATACCTCTCTTATAACAGGTGTTCATTAAATTGACCCACTCGCTATAACCAATATTTTAAAAGAAGGCATAAGAATAAAAGACATCTTACAAAATACTTACCCTTCCTACCTCTCAAGCCATCAAACTCTGATGCTGAAAAGGTGACACTCAGGGGAATGTCAATCTCTTGGTTGTCCCACCGTTCTCCTGGTTCCTGCTGGTCTTCACATCACTACTATTTTCTTTAATGGGTAGAGGTCAGCAGGAGAGACGGTGAGAGCTTTGATTTTACATTCCAGGGAGTTTTATCATTCTTCATGAATGACAAATATTGGTCAAAATAGGTGCCATTGTTGTGAGTGATAAAAAGCCAAGTGGAATAATTATCTTTACAGATACCAGGCAGATGTATCTGTAAAATCAATGACTGTATTTCTGCACTCAGCTCCTAAACAAACTCAGAAAATCCCACTGACTACAGCCCAGCAGTATGGATGGTGGCTGCCACAGGACCCCAAGGCAAAACCAGAAAGCGCCCATCCTTGGATTCAAAGCACACGATACCCCATGGTCAATAGCCCAATGACCAGGTAAGCCACTACTTATCTTTTTCAGAGGCTGGGGAGTGTACATAGTTAGATAACAGGTCCAACTCACCAGGATAAGAATCTTTGTCCTCTTCCCTGGACACAATTTGTGGGCACAGCTCCACTGCAAAGGATATTGGTTTCTGCCCGAGTTGGACTTTAACTACTTAACATTGAATAACTGTTGAGATAACGAAGTTTAGTTTTTTCCGGGTTATTTAGTTAACAGCACAGCTTGCAAGGGTTATGCACAGTAATGTACTACAGGTGAAACTCGAAAAATTAGAATATCGTGCAAAAGTTCATTTATTTCAGTAATGCAACTTAAAAGGTGCAACTAATATATGATATAGACTCATTACATGCAAAGCAAGATAGTTCAAGCCGTGATTTGTCATAATTGTGATGAGTATGGCTTACAGCTCATGAAAACCCCAAATCCACAATCTCAGAAAATTACAATATTGTGAAAAGGTGCAATATTCTGGGCTCAAAGTGTCCCACTCTAATCAGCTAATTAAGCCATAACACCTGCAAAGGGTTCCTGAGCCTTTAAATGGTCTCTCAGTCTAGTTCAGTAGGAATCACAATCATTAGAAAGACTGCTGACCTGACAGTTGTGCAGAAAACCATCATTGACACCCTCCATAAGGAGGGAAAGCCTCAAAAGGTAATTGCAAAAGAAGTTGGATGTTCCCAAAGTGCTGTATCAAAGCACATTAATAGAAAGTTATGTGGAAGGGAAAAGTGTGAAAGAAAAAGGTGCACAAGCAGCAGGGATGACCGCAGCCTGGAGAGGATTGTCAGGAAAAGGCCATTCAAAAGTGTTGGGGACTTTCACAAGGAGTGGACTGAGGCTGGAGTCAGTGCATCAAGAGCCACTGTCAGGAATGGACTCAGCACTGGTGGTGGGACTCACCTGCCGTGTGGGTTGCAGTACCAGAGCTGACCAGCGGGTGCTCTTAGCAGCCAGAAGCTCACAATCAGCCAAACCTGGGGCTGATTGCAGAAAGGTGTATATAAGGCATGACCAGGCCTGTGCTCTGGGCCTTGGTGTATGTTTTCCCATGAGCCTCTGTACCTGGTATCCTGTGTTCCTGCTTCGTTGCTGACCCGGCTTGATTCTGACCTCTGCTGACCATCTCCTGTTGAACCCCTGGCTTGCCTGACCATCCTTCTGTCTGATCCCCTGTACAGCGCTGTCCGTGAGTTACTGAACCCGGCTTGTGACCTTGACTATTCTCTGCCTGCTCCTTTGGTACCTTGCTGCCCGCACATTGCTGACTTGGCCCGTCTGACCACGCTAACTACTCTGCCATCCATCCATCCTGCACGGATCCAGCCGTACCTGCACATACCTCTGGCGGATCCCTCTACCACTAGCAGGTGTACTCAGGGGCCGCGACCTGGTTCCTGTCTGCTCCAAGTCCATCCCCACCATCAGGGGCCTGGTGAATAAGCAGGCTGGGACTTAGACTCCGCGCCCTGGGGAATCCTGTCCTGGGGACCACTAGAGGTACCACCAAACGGTCATTACAGAACCCTACGGCCGGCCTGATCGTTCCACCTCTCCAGCCCTGACTGCGCCTGTGTTCCTGCACCTACTAAGATTAGTGAAAGGTTGGTTTGTTCACTGTGCGTTTATATATATATATCTGGGTGGCTAATAATAACCTGTATTATTATACTATACCTGAAACCTGCGTTTCCCTGTGTCAGTCCACACCTTTCTGGTCATTCCTTGATTCCTGACAGCCACCACACACAGACGGATCCTGGACATGGGCTTCAAATGTCGTATTCCTCTTGTCAAGCCGCTCCTGAACAACAAACAACGTCAGAAGCGTCTTACCTGGGCTAAAGAAAAACAGACCTGGTTTGTTGCTCAGTGGTCCAAAGTGCTCTTTCCTAATGAGAGCAACTTTTGCATCTCATTTGGAAACCAAGGACCCAGAGTATGGAGGAAGAATGGAGAGGCACACACTGCAAGATGCTTGAAGTCCAGTATGAAGTTTCCACAGTCTGTGTTGATTTGGGGAGCCATGTTATCTGCTGGTGTTGGTCCACTGTCTACCAGGAGATTTTGGAGTTCTTCATGCTTCCTTCCACAGACGAGCTTTATGGGTTTGCTGACTTCATTTTCCAGCAGGACTTGGCACCTGTACACAGCCAAAAGCACCAAAACCTGGTTCAATGACCATGGGATTACTGTGCTTGATTGGCCACCAAACTCGCCTGAACTGAACCCCATAGAGAATCTATGGGGCATTACCAAGAGAAAGATGAGAGACATGAGACTAAACAATGCAGAAGAGCTGAAGGCTGCTATTGAAGCATCCTGATCTTCCATAAAACCTCAGCAGTGCCACAGGCTGATAGCTTCAATGCCACGCTGCATTGAGGCAGTAATTGCTGCAAAAGGGGCCCAAACCAAGTACTGAGTACATATGCATGCTTATACTTTTCAAAGGTCCGATATTGTTCTATGTACAATCCTTGTTTTATTGATTGCATGTAATATTCTAATTTTCTGAGATTGTGGATTTGGGGTTTTCATGAGCTGTAAGCCATAATCATCACAATTATGACAAATCACGGCTTGAACTATCTTGCTTTGCATGTAATGAGTCTATCTCATATTTAATTTCACCGCTTAAGTTGCATTACTGAAATAAATGAACTTTTGCACGATATTCTAATTTTTTTCGAGTTTCACCTGTAGATGGCAAGCAATAGCAAGAAACATGGCCAAAAAGAGTTTTCATTTCAAAAGATGACTCAATGATTATGGAAGGTGTTACAATTGCAACCCCCCTTATAAACAAACACATGCACACTAGAAATGTGGACAATCAAGAAGTTATATGATTGAATATGGACAGTGTTTTGAAGTGATATCCCAGTTACCTAGTTAACTAAAAAATATATTTTGTTAACAGGTAAAAACCTTTATTTAAGGAACAACTAATATAAGAATATATTCTTTGATAAACAACCATTCTAGCAAAGAAGAAAAAAAAATATCACATTTTCTGCCTATGCACAGCATGCATTCATTACTGGTTGTCCACATGGTTTCAGCTTTACCACTGATCTGATGCTCTGACGAGTACTAAATAATTGATTCCCAGTGAACTGAGCTCATGAATTATAGAACATCTCAGTTGGTTATTGCCTTGTGTGAAGATGTTTACAATCAGATGAAGATCATTTAAATGCAATTTTCTCACTAAAGATCCTTGTATTTTCAACTGCTGTAATAGACAGAAAAAGTACATTTTAATGGGAAAATTGCTGCTGACAGTGTCTCTGTTATATTGAGGAATGTTGCCAACAATCAAATGAATAAGCATTTTTAGGACCACATTCAGCAAATCAGTTTACATGGCCTAAAATGTGCAAGGGTTCAGTGATGTCAATAAGCTCCTTGCTCTAAAATCCTGCATGTTTTAGGATACTGATATGACCTTTAAATGGCTCTGGGACTGCCACCATTATAAAAGGCAAGTATAATCATCTGTGAAGGTCTGCATAAAATAGAAAATGTCACTTTCCCCATTCCTGGGCAAAGTAACATTGCCTTCTAAAAGCCCACCTCTCCCTCAGCTAGTTATACCTGCCAGTCCGCTTATAGACAGGTGCAACCTGACATCCATCCAGTAGGTGGGCCTCTGACACTGTACAGATGGAGAAGAGTTTTAAGTGGTAGTAAAGCCACTTCTTTGATGTGTACAGTAAATGTGCACCGTTTAGATATTTACTTTTGCATCAGCCAGTGACGTCACTGCGCATGCACTCTGAAGGAACAGCATACCCATGTCGTTCCTTCAGAGTTCTGTGCCATGGCTGTTACTCATGCAGCAGAGTGACGTCATCACAGCTCAGCCATTCATACCGCTGAAGCCCGTGAACCCAGAAGGAAGACCGGGTCAAGATGGAAGTGCCGTGACAGCCTGCCCCTGGAGTGCTTCGATTTCAGGTAAGTCTGTCAAGATGTGCTAGTATGCGGTGCATACTAGCACAATATAGCTAAAACCACCTGGGGGCCCATTTTTATTTCTTCTTTGGTGCAGTTTACTACTGCTTTAAAGGAAAACTGTTTCTTTGCAGATTCCTTAATGTCTCAAAGGTTGCGGCTGCACGATTGGGCGCTGCAACTTCTGGTGACCTCTGGCAGCCATTTTGGTATGACTCTATAATATAGGTATTTGATTGCACCTGAATTGAGTGGATAGGTGAGGGACAGAGACCTTGCTTTGTCAGGGAGAATTATAAGTGAGCGGAGAAGTTCCTGAGCAAGTAGGGTCACCTCTTGTACTCCACAGATATTCTAGTACTCAGACCAGCAATTTGGGGGAGTCTCTTCAGCCACATAGAGTGATGCTACCTTATACTACAGTACGCCACCCCTCCAGCAGAAGCCACCGTATGGTAAAACTGGACAAGCCTGAAATACTGGCATTACTAAATGATACACCGCTGCTAATAGTGTGCCACTGCTGAGTAATCGGCCGCTGCAATATCGTACCTTTACTGTTATATTACAGCTGTAATAGTATAGTACATTCTACATTCCTCCCCCTCCCCCCTTCTCTTCTACTTTTGGCACTTTTTTTTTGGGGGGGGGGGCTCCCACTTCCAGTCAGATTGCTTCAGTGATTCACAAAGCACGACGAGGCTTGCTCATTAGGAAGCCGGCTGTGAAGCTGCAAGGAATCGTAGCCAGTTTCCCACAGTAAATATTCCAGCACCAAGGACCTGAAGACCGATGAAGAAGATGCCTGGGTGAGGTAGCAGACTTAGCCTGCTCTTTAACACCATTGTCCTATTGAAGCGTGGCTTTAGGAATGGAGGAACATGTGACCTCCCCCAAATGACAGTACTTGGGCCTAAGAGTCCAATTACCAGGACCACACAATGTCACATGAAGGATGGTGAGATCAACCACCCAGGTAAGGTCCAACACCAGAACTTTCCCAGGGTGGACTCCTGCAGCAAGTGAGAATGAATTGGTGAGTATAACTTGCTGGGGCATTCATTATGCCCTGAATGCAGACATTTTAATGCAGATCTCCACAGATGTATGCACTTACAGTACCTTCTGTTGGCACCCCCACTTCACCATTTGGCTGCTGGATGTGAAAGCAATGCTTTATGTGAGCTAAAAGTTGTTAAAGTCATGGGTTTCATGACTCTGGACTCCCTTGTGACAGCACTGATTGGCCCAGTCATGCACTCCATACCCAGAAGCAGGCTACGGTCCTCAGGATCACCCCACTAAGGGGTGAGTGGAGACAGGAGGGCTACAATGTGGAGACTGTACAGTTGGGGATCAGCAAGAGAATAGCCATATCCAGGTAGAGGTTATGGCAGGCGACAGGCAGAGAGTAGTCGAGTCCAAGCAGAGGTCATCAGTGACCAAGAAAGACAGCGTAATAGTCAGGGCAATTTGGCCCAGCAAGAACAAGGCAATAGGTAAGTACAATAGCTCTTTTATAGCATTTCCATGGTAGCTGGCAAGAAGACACAGCACCAGCCACTACAAAAAAAATGGGTACCTTATTGCGGTTGTGTGTCCTAAAATTAACTTTAGTACATATTTTACAAAACTTTTGTGTTTCCTAAACTGTTGTGCTAATATCATGTGACATAAAAAATGGTAACTATCACTATTTTATTCACTACCGTGTCCACTTTAGGAAAACATAATATTTGGGGGGTTTACAGTATGTAATCTTCAGGCCTAAAATGATTTTTTTAACCATATGTGCAAAAACTGCTCTGGAAGCAAAAGGGTTAATACTCTTTCAGGGAGTTCTGGAAGTCCTGGCAGGGATTCTGCAAGCACCAGTGAAAGTACTGGCAGGGATTCTGGAAGTGGCAGAAGTCCTGGTGGTACTGTAACAGTCTGAAGTTGACACGGCAGTATCACAACCTGTAAGTGAAAACACATATCTAATGCAGAAGAAAGCATGAGCAGTAGACATCAATGTGTCAGAATGTGGAATATGTCTCCTACCTCAGTATCTAGTCATAATAAAGCAAACACACTTGGACTTGGATGACTGCGAAAAAAACTTATTCGAGTGGCTTCTTCAGTTCTCTTACTGGGAGCAAATTCCCTTAAAGCAAAGCTTTTCCCCCTTTCACTAAAATCAAGTTCTGTTTGCTGATAAGACATCATTTTAAATTCATTGGTTAAAAAAAAGTTTTTCTTTTATTTGAGATTAGTTTTTTTCCACTTTCTAGTTGAGTGAGGCACTAGTGATGTAACCCTACTCTCACAGCTGCATCCCTGGATGTTCCTGTCACATGTTCCCACAGGCAGACCCAGAGTTCTAGGCAGAGATCAAGAAGAAAAAAGGAGATGGATTCATCTGCCCTTAGTTAATATGGCCGCCATGAGAAAATTAGGAAAAAAAAAATAACGTATGCAAAGAATAAATAATCTGCAGTTATCCATACGTATCTGTTTGTAGATTGCCATTACTAGACATTTCTAAAAGTGCCTTTATTGTAATTTGTATAAGGGGAAAGTTCCTCTTTACGGTATAGGGACTTTTTGTATGTTATTAAGTCTATTCCAAGAACCATAATACATTTTATGCACATGGAAGCAGTGTTATAAGCAGGGGCGGACTGACCATTTGGAAACTCGGGCACTGCCTGAGGGCCCGGGGTAAGTAGGGGGCCCCATGAGATGCCCCTGGTACCTTTTTTTTCATAGGCTTTTTTGAGTTTGGGCAAGGACACAGGGGCCCCATGATCCCCTATTGCCCTGGGGCCCCACCAGTTGTCAGTCCACCTCTGGTTATAAGGAGTACATAATTCAAGGTGGGAAGCGCAGTGTATAAAAAACTATATGCAACACTTTTGGGTGCAGCAATGTGTGTATTCAGGTCCATGGGAAAAGCTGTAAAAATTTGCATTTGTAAGGTACTGCATTAAAGGTATATTTTCAAATCCTATAATTTGAATAATATATGCTGTTAAAAACAATATAGCAGTATTGTCCATAAAACAGCCACATTTCTAATACTTTTCTTACAGCTATGTGTTTCAGTACTAACCACCATCTTTCATATTTTTCAGGTTTGTGGATCAAATGGCGGTGACTGACAAACAATTCCGTTTATTTTAACACTTACCGTGAAGCATAGAGGACACCAGTAAATTAGATTTCTTTTGATATATGACTATAGTGCCATTTGCTGCAATCAGCCTTATCTTATCAGCTTTTGCCAGTAATGTTTCTCATGCAAAATTAATTCTTTGTTTGGGACATCGAGTATATTAAAGGTCTGGTGAAATTTATACACAAATTCAGTTTGTAGTGGCTCATTTAATGCCGGATATTTGCCAAATTCTCCTATATTTGTTCAGTTTAGAGATGCATACCACATACCTTATGGTTGAGATCACAAATCAGGACAGTTTAATGATCTGTGGTCATACAGGGATTAATTTATCTCTGTGGATAACCAATTAGAATTTACTCCACTGAAGTCAAACCAGTTCAAGGTGAATTCTTATTGGCCGCTATGGTTTACTGCAGTAAGAATGAACAATGTTCTCCTTGCTCTGCAGACCTTAATGTACACTGACTTTGTCGTGGTCTTGTTCACATACAACTGCTTGAACCCTTGAATTACTGAACATAGTATAACTGAATTGTTTAATAAACATTTAACAAAAAATTGTATAATTTTACATTTTTTTTCTACTCTTCTGGAGATACTGTGTGAGCCAATGTATAAGGGGGTTCACATCGCACACAGAGTTAGTGTGCAGAATTAAATTGTACTGTCTTGGATGCTGTCTGCCTGCACATAAGATTTGCCTTTGTCCTCATGCTGTGACTAGGTCTGTTACTAAAAAGAAATAAAGATTCTCCATACTCTTCACTCTCTTGATTCTAAACTATCTAGAAGACAAAATAGCAGCCCCAGCAGTTGGCAGAAGTTTAAGGCATATTTGACTGCATTAGAACAAATGCACAGTATTACAGGAAGCATTCATTGTGTACCAGAATCGCATGTACTTTTATGAAATATACATTTTTGGTACCTTTTCTTTGAGTGTTATGTGGTGGGCCTTCCCTATGCTTTCTCTTGCGTACAGCAAAGAGCATGTCAGTTTATTAAGGGGACAGCATTTATGATATCACACACAACAGGAAGACAATTTCCCATATGAATGCACTGCATTTCATAAGGGTGGTGCAGAACGAAATCTGTGATTGATGAGGGGGGGGGGAGCTGATTTGACCAGGGGAGATACAGGCAAACTGCATGTCAACACAGCATCCTGCTTCTCAATAGAGGAAGCACCAAGATGCAAACTGACCACCGCAGCATGGATTTGTTTCCATGCTTAGCCTGGTCTGAAAACAAATTAAAGAAATGGAACTGGGACAGCACATTGGCATGGAGTTTGCATGTTCTCCCTGTCTTTCTGTCTTTGCGTGGGTTTCCTTCCACTTTCCAAAGACAAACTAGTAGGTTAAATGGCTTCTTTCTAAATTGGCCCTGGTGTGTGCATGTATGCATGTGAGGTAGGGACCTTAGGTTGTAAGCTTCTGGAGAGCAAGGACTGAGCTTAATATACAGTACGTAAAGTGCTATGTAAATTGTTGGGGCTATATAAATACCTGTTATAAATAAACTGGTAGGATGATGGGTATTTCTGAGAACAGGCTAGATTTCCATTAAAATATTGTTACACATACAGTATATGAGAACATTTTTGGGGATAACATACACTTTAATAAAGAGTTCCAAGTTTCTTAGCACTTAAAATAATTTGTTTGGACCAGCTTTGATCAAACAAATTATTTGCATCCCAGAATGGGCCAGATGCTGCTTAGGCTGCAGTATACTGTAGCAGCTTGTGCTGCGTACAGTCAGAGGTACTGCATCTCTGCCATTTGGGAGAAGCCTTGTATTTTTACAATTAATACAAGGCCTCCCCTGCTTGGCTGAGGTCAAGGTTGTGATTTCAACCTCTCGCCTCTCCTAAATGTTAGAACCCAGCATTACTTACTGTATGTACCACAAGCTGCTACAATATACTACAGCCTAAGCAGCAGCCAGTCTGTTCTGGCATGCAGAAAATTAATTTGGTCCAAGCTGGCCAAAACAAATTATTAAAAGTGCCAAGAAGTCTTGATATCTCTTTTAGTCTGTCATAATGCAATTCCCTGTGTAAAATCATGCTTGCAGATAGTAGCAAGTATCATTGAGTAAATGCACTCTTAGGAAACCCTAATCATCTCTAAGGCCGTTTTCACTCCGGTGTGCTGCAGTTTGGGCACAGCATGATTGTATGTGCATTTTTTTTTCCCGGTGAAATCGGAAAGTTACATAGTTACATAGTTAGTCTGGCTGAAAAAATACAAAAGTCCATCCAGTTCAACCATAGAAAAAAAAAAAAGTTCTAATCCTATACCCACAGTTGATCCAGAGGAAGGCAAAAAAAAACCCCCAGCAAAGCACGATCCAATTTGCTCCTGCTGGGAATAAAAATTCCTTCCTGATCCCCCGAGAGGCAATCAGATATTCTCTGGATCAACTTTACCTATAAATGTTAGTATCCAGTTATATTCTGTATATCTAAGAAACAATCCAGGCCTTTTTTGAATCAATCCACTGAGCTGGCCAGAACCAACTCTTGAGGGAGTCTATTTCACATTTTCACAGCTCTCGCTGTGAAGAAACCTTTCCATGTTTTTGGAGATTAAATTTCTTTTTTTCCAGACGTAAAGAGGGCCCCCTTGTCCTCTGTGATGACCTCAGGGTGAATAATTCTACATCGAGTTGCCCTTCTCTGTACTTTCTTCAGTTCCCCAATGTTCTTTTTGTGAATTGGTGCCCAAAACTGAACTGCATATTCCAGATGAGGTCTTACTAATGATTTGACAAAATACTTGTCGCTTCCAGCTTCTTATACCATAGAGAGCCTTGGAGGGGGGGGGGGGGATCACCTTCTGCTGCCTGTAAAAGTGATTTGGTGACTAATTAGTTGCTTGGACTAGTTTTACATTCTTCAGGATCGCTGCCTGAAAGAAAATATACTAGGGTTATGCCTGTAGCTGCAGGCCTCATCCTGGTATAACCACTTCAACCTGGAGATGTACAGGTATGTCACAGAAGCTGAAGTGGTTAGTGTTTACCATGAATAACTCTGTCTGCACTGTGCTGAAAGATATTATGATCAACTGAAAACTAGATATAGTTACATAGTCTAGTCTGGCTGAAAAAAGACAAAAGTCCATCCAGTTCAACCATAGAAAAAAAAGTTCTAATCTTATACCCACAGTTGATCCAGAGGAAAGCAAAAAAAACCCCAGAAAAGCATGATACAATTTACTCCTGCGGGGAAAACAAATTCCTTCCTGACCACCCAAAGGCAATGGGATATTCCCTGGATCAACTTTACATATAAATGTTAGTATCCAGCTATATTCTGTGTATCTAAGAAAACAGTCCAGGCCTTTTTTGAAGCAATCCACTGAGCTGGCCAGATCCAACTCTTGAGGGAGTCTATTCCACATTTTCACAGCTCTTACTGCGAAGAAACCTTTCCGTGTTTGGAGATTACATTTCTTTTCCTCCAGACGTAAAGAGTGCCCCCTTGTCCTCTGTGATGACCTCAGGGGGAATAGCTCTACACCGAGTTCACTATATGAACCACTGATGTATTTATACATGTTGATCATATCCCCCCTTATCTCCTCTTCTCAAGAGAGAATAAATTCAGTTCCTCTAATCTTTCCTCATAGCTGATCTCCTCCATGCCTTGTATCAGTGTAGTTGTCCTTCTCTGTACTTTCTCCAGTTCCCCAATGTTCTTTTTGTGAATTGGTGCCCAAAACTGAACTGCATATTGATATGAGGTGTTACTAATGATTTGTACCGGGGTAATATGGTATCTCTCTCTCTGGAGTCTATACCTCTTTTAATACAAGAGAGGATTTTGCTCGCTTTAGAAACCACAGCTTGGAATTGCATTCCATTATTAAGCTTGTGATCTACCAGAACTCCCAGATCCTTCACCATTGATTCCCCCAGTTGTACCCCCCCCCCCCCCTAGTATGTATGATTCATGCATATTCTTAGCCCCCAAGTGCATAACCTTACATTTATCAACATTAAACCTCATTTGCCACATAGTTGCCCAATTACACAGTGCATTGAGGTCGGCTTGTAAATTGGAGACATCCTGTAAGGACGTTATTCCACTGCACAGCTTGGTGTCATCTGCAAGGACTGAAATGGGATTTTTAATCCCAGACCCTATATCCTTTATAAATATATTACAAAGTAAGGGTCTCAACACTGAACCTTGGGGTACACCACTGACAACCCTAGACCATTCAGAGTATGAATCATTAACCACTACTCTCTGAATACGATCTTTTAGCCAGTTTTCTATCCATTTACATACAGATTTTTCCAAGCCTGTAGACTTTCCCTTACACATTAGCCATGTGTGGGGAACTGTGTCAAATGCTTTTGCAAAATCCAAGTATACCACGTCCACCACCACCCCTCTGTCCAAGGTTTTGCTCAACTCCTCATAAAAAAGAAACCAGATTTGTTTAACAATTTCTGTCTTTCATAAATCCATGCTGTCTGTTGCTTAAAATATTTTTTTTCTAGCAAGAACTCATCTATGTGGTCTTTTTATTAAACTCTCCAGTATCTTCCCAACTATAGAAGTTAAACTAACAGGTCTATAATTACTTGGTAAAGATATTGACCCGTTTTTAAATATTGGCACCACATTGGCCTTACACCAGTCCAGTGGTACTATGCCAGTCATTAATGAGTTCCTAAAAATTAGAAACAATGGCTTTGAAATGACAGAGCTCAATTCTTTAAGGACCCGTGGGTGTGTGCTATCTGGTCCAGGTGCTTTATTCACCATTATACTGTCTAAATATTTTGACATATAATAATATATGAACACTGTCAGTCCTAACAAAAAGGTGAAGATCTACAAGTATATTAATGAAGGGAAACTCAGGGTGTTCTCAGTCTTTGTCTGGGGACAGACACACTTTGAAATTGTTTAGAGTAGCTTTCAGGCTTCCCAAAGATCTGCTTCACAGAAACATCTAAAAAGTTCAGACATTTTTTA